GGCTTTCTCTTCTTCAGTCCCTTTTTAACATATAATTTGTTTGTATCTGTCCACATAGACGGATATGCCCACCTTCCATTTCCCCGAGGGAGCACTCCTACTGCTTCATTGATGGAGAATTGGAGGTGGTGTGGTTGAATGAATTGTCTCAAATGGCACACAGCAGCTGAGGATGCTGGATTTCTTCCCTACTTTGTCCCAGGGAGTGGGAAGAAGTTCCAGAAGGCAGCCACGCTGAGAAAATGTTGTGGGTAATTTCCCCAGACTAGGTGGCAGAGCAGAGGAGAAGGGAGACTGTGTGTGTGTGTGTGTGTGTGTGTGTGTGGCCAGCCTTAGACTGGGGACAGCTAGTGACCTAGAGGATTAGGGGTTGGGCACTGGTGGGATTAAAAGTCCCCTTGGAGCCTCTTGAAGCTCTTTTCAAGCCTGAGGCAGGTGGGCGGGAGATGTGGGAGGGCCAACCCCTCTCTCTCTCTGGCGTTCTGCAGACTGAATGTGGTCTTGACACCTCCAACCTCCCACAGACCACACCAGACCCTCTTTTAGAGGGAGCTCAGGACCCTCCCCAGCGCCTGACTCCCTGCTGGGACCAGCCCTATTCATAGCCCACCAGCTGCCATGACCACCGCCAGACCAGCCCCACCTCACCCGGAAAGTGCCCCACTAAGTGGGCCAATCCAGGCCATGCAGTACTCGAGGGAGGGAGGGCTGATTCAGGAGCTTCAGCACGTTATTAACAGGGAACTTGCATTTACAGAGCTCTTTCCCCTCAGAACGCCAAACCACAGTGCTAGTGTGATGTCATTCCCATTCCCCGCCACCCACCCCCCACCCCCAAGCAGGGCAGACAGAGGCCAAGGGTAGGTAGGAAAAGGTATCCCCTCTATTCATTCAAGTTACACCAGTGGAAAGTCTGGTGCTGGTAACTCATGCCTGTAAACCTAGCTACTCAGGAGGCTGAGATCTGAGGTTTAAAGCCAGCCCAGGCAGGAAAGTCCATGAGACTTTTTTTTTTGGTCAGTCATAGGGGCTGAACTCTGGACCTGGGTGCTGTCCCTCAGCTCTTCAGCTCAAGGCTAGTGCCCTACCACCTGAGCCACAGTGCCACTTCCTGCTTTTTTCTGTTTATGTGGTGCTGAGGAATCGAACCCAGGGCCTCATGCATGCGAGGCAAGCACTCTACCACTGAGCCAACTTCCCAGCCCTCCATGAGACTCTTACCTCCAATTAACCACCAGAAAACTAGAAGTGGTGCTGTAGCTCAAAGTGGTAGAGCGCTAGCCTTGAGCAAAAGAGCTCAGGGACAGTGCTCAGGCCCTGAGTTCAAGCCCCATAACCAACCCCATCCCTCCCCACCCCCCAAAATATGAGGCAAGTGAGACCAGGCCCTGGTGCTCTGCCCTGGGAGTGCTTCTGTCCACCCCACAGATGGAGCCTTTGGGGCTAGAGCTGTTTACCTTAAATGATACAAACTCTAGTTGTTGGCTGATTTTACCTGGCTCCTTGTTGCCCTGCTGGAGGGGTATGGCCTTACTTAGAAGCCCCCAACCTCATTCTGAAGTGATGGTACCTTCTGCCTTCTCTGCACTTGATCTCCCTCCCTCTGGCTCCCTGTCCCTTTCTTCCTCTCTCTGCCCCCACTCCCCTCCTCCTGTGCCTTACTCCCACACCAGCCTTTGCCCTTTTCTTCATCTTCCCAGGTGTGGGGGGTGATGGAAAGGTATCCTGCATGCATTCTGGAGCCCAGTCAGCCGGCCCCATCTCTATCCCCTCTAGTCATCCTCCAGTCCCTGAAGCCTCATTATTAGGGTTGCAGTGACCCTCCCCTCCCTCCCCTGCATTGTCTAGCCTGTCTGGCCCTGGCATGAAAGGTAGAATTTTGGCAGAGAATGGAGGCTCGGCCTGATTCCAGCTTGTTCTTTGCAGTGTAGAGTCTGTAATGTGCTTGGGGCAGAGCAGGCAGGCTGGGGTGGGGGCTGGGGGCCAGGGAGCCACAGGGCATCCCCTGTCACTAGGACAACAGCAGGGAGCCTGAAACAAGGGAGAGCCAGGAGGAGAGCAGGTGGCTCTTTGTCTGTTGCCTGATCCCAGCCCCCTACCCCATTGCCCTCCAGAGGCCCCTGGGAAGGGATTGGTGTCCCTGCTCCCAGCATATGCAAAACCACTGGGCTTCTTCCTACTGCTGGGCCAAGAGAGACTATATGTTGTACTACAGACCCCCCCCCCCTGCAGGGCCCACTGGGGATCTTCCCAGGCCTGTACCCCCAATCCCTGTCTCCAAACTGTCCACATAGCACCAAGGCCCACATGAGAGCATGTGGAGGCTGGCTAGTGATTCCCCATGATGGATTTGGAGAATTGGCCCTCAGGCTCCAGTGGCCCTCAGGAATGAAAGAGGCTGCACCCTGCCAGCCATTGCCATAGTCTGCTCTTCTCTAGGCTCTGTGTTTCTGCATCTGAGCAATAAGGTGGACAAAATAGTGGTTCTTTTCTGCTGAAAAATAAACTGTTTAGAATAGGATCTTGGGAGAAGCCCTGCCTCGCCTAGGTCTGAGGCTGGGCTCAACTTTGTAGTCTCTCAGTTTTGAATCTAAGCAGCAAAGCAGACCTTGGGGCTGAAGGGCAGTGACTTCAAGGGGTACTAAATTGCCCAGGTGTGGAATCCTGCCTCTGTGGCTTGTTGGGAAAGTCATTTCTATGCTGATTCTGCCTTTCTCTTCAGTAATACAAGGACCATAGTACGGTCTACTGTACTGTGATAGGAGGTCAAAGATCATTCTGGAGCTTAGGATATCTGGATTTTATTTTATTTATTTATTTATTTTTGTCGGTCATGGGGCCTGAACTCTGGGCCTGGGCGCTGTCTCTCAGCTCTTCAGCTCAAGGCGAGCGCTCTACTACTTGAGCTACAGCGCCACTTCCGGTTTTCTGGTGGTTTATTGGAGATAGGAGTCTCACGGTCTTTCTTGCCCTGGCTGGCTTTGAACCACGATCCTTAGATCTCAGCCTCCTGAGTAGCTAGGATTACAGGCGTGAGCCACCAGCGCCCGGCGGATATCTGGATTTTAAAATGGGCTTCTTTAGAAATGTCCTCTTGGGGGCTGGGGAGGTGGCTCAGTGGTAGAGTGCTTGCCTTGCATGCATGAGGCCCTGGGTTTGATTCCCCAGCACCACATAAGCAAAAAGAAAAAAAGCCGGAAGTGGTGCTGTGGCTCAAGTGGTAGAGCGCTAGCCTTGAGCTGAAGAGCTGAGGGACAGGCCCAGAGTTCAGGCCCCACGACCGGACCCCCCCCCAAAAAAAAAAAAGGAAGGAAGGAAGGAAGGGAGAGAAGGAGGGTGTTTAGCCTTGTAAACTCCCTTGTCCCCAGATAATATATCCCTAATATCTGTTGTCTTTTTATTTATTGCTTATTTTGCCATGATGGAGATTGAACCTCTTACATGCTAGGCAAGTGCTCTATCACTGACCTCCATCTGTTGCCTTTTAAAATCTAAACAACCTACAGCAGCATATCCAGAGAGACTCTGGAGTCTCTGGAGTCTCTCTGGAGTCAAGGGGAGAGCCCTTTGTTCTTATCACATTCTTGGTAGGGTCCATGTGAGGGTAGATGTGGGCACTGGGTGAAGGAGGGACAAGAAAGGTTAAGAGCTTCTCTGGGAGAGATGAATATGTTCCTGCTTTTGCTAACTGAAACCATAAGACTTTCCAAGGAAAATGAGTGCCGGTCTATCTACACATCCCATCTACTCATTCAACAAATCTGAGTGCCCATAATGGAGCTGTGCATTGAACATTAGGGTGTTGGGGTGCAGTGCCAGTCTTTGCTGAGCTAAAGTCCAATGAGGAGGCAGAAAGTAGCTGGAGACAGTGTGGTTAAGAGGCCCACAGTCTATCCAGGGCACAGAGAAACAGTCATAGAGAGCTGTTTGTGAGGGGGAGAAAAGAGGATGGCAGAGTAGTGGGGAATAGTGAGTCCCAGGGTGAAGAGAGAGGAAAGGCAATCTTAATTGGAGGGACCTACATGTGCAAAGCTGTAGAAGGTAAGGAAATAGATAAGCCTATAAACCTCGCTACTCAGGGGGCCAAGACCTGAAGGATCTTGGTTCAAAGCCATCCCCTGCAGAAAGGCTACAAGATTCTATCTCTAATTTGCCAGCAAGATACTGGACTTGCATCTCAAGAGCAAGAGCTATGAGCAAGAAAACCAAGTGATCTATTAAGGCCTTGAGTTCAAGCTCCAATACTGATGAATGCACACACATAAAGAAAACAGTGTGAGTTGGGCGTTGGTGGCTCATGCATGTAATCCTAGCTACTTAGGAGGCTGAGATCTGAGGATCATATTCAAAAGCAGCCCAGGCAGGAAAGTCCCTGAGACTCTTATCTCTCATAAACCACCAGAAAACTGAAAGTGGTGCTGTGGCTCAAGTGGTAGCGTGCTAGCCTTGAGCTGAAGAGCTGAGGGACAGCGCCCAGGCCCAGAGTTCAAGCCCCATGACCAGCCCTCCCCACCCCCAAATAGTGTGAACATATACCTCCCCAACGTAAACTGGCCTGAGTGGGTATTAGTTGGTCCCTGAGGGGGCAGGTGGACTGTGTCCAAGGTATACAGGACATTCCAGGGTATACCTTCTGCTCAGGGAGAACTCTGCATCCCTACTTTAGTGCTTTAGCTCGGCTCCTCCCTCACCTGTCATCAGATCTCCTAGAAGGAACTCCTTCTCCCTGCTGACCCTTATCCCTTGAGTCCTGTTTCCTGGTCCACTGTCAGAATTAAAGGTGAAGGAAAGATGCTTTAATACTTCTGAGTCTGCCTCCTTCTCTGTGCTAGACAGTTGGATTGGGTGATACTGAACAATCCCAGATACCACTTGTCCTCTGTGGGCAGAAGGTGGGGCCAGGACTCAGTGAGTGATGGTGGAAATCTGGGCCCTGTGTCAGTGCTGGGAGATGGGGGAGGGCCCTGCTGATTCCACTGCTTTCTGTGCTTCTTCCTCAGTTTGATCCTGGGAACACGGGCTTCATCAGCACAGGCAAGTTCCGAAGCCTCCTGGAGAGCCATAGCTCCAAGCTGGACCCACACAAAAAAGAGGTGCTCCTGGCTCTCGCTGACAGCCATGCAGATGGGCAGATCTGCTACCAGGATTTTGTCAACCTGGTAAGCACTCTGGGGCCCTTGCCTCAGAGGGGCCTGTGTGGGGGTTGTGTCTTAGATATGTGTGGAAGAGATTTAGATAAAGGGGTCACAGCATTAAGAGGTCCAGGCTTCAGCCAGTGAAAGGATACCACTCAGAACCTGATTTGTCTTCATCTCTCAGCTCTGCCTTCTTCAGAGAAGCTCCAGACCCTCCCATTGTGGTAGCAAGGTGGCTACACTGTTCCAACCCTCACATCCTCAGACCATATCATGCCGAGATTCAATTCTTGTGGGGCTCCTGCACAAAGCCTGGGATTTCTTCCCTTCCACTGGCCTAGCCTGGATGTACTAACAGACTCAAATCTCAACAAGTGCCCAACCCTAAAACTTGGATTGGGGCCAGCTACACCAAAATGACCGAGAGTAAGAGTTGTTGCTTGTAAAAGTTGCAAGGACAGATCAGACTTTCCTGGGAGCGGTGCAGCATGTGGGAGCGGTGGAGGCCAGAGCTTAGCAGATGTCTAGGGTCGGCAGAGGGGCTGCAGATGGAAGGTTCCTGAGTCTGGTGTTTTCGGGTGGAGACTTCTTCCTTTCTGAGGGTTAATGCTGTGCTATTGCAGGGACTACTGTGGCAAGATTCACCATGAGTGGACAGGAATTCCTCAGTAGAAGCTTCAAGAGTTAGCAAGATGAATGCAAGACTGATAGTCTCCCTTACTTTCCCTGTTGATGTTATGGAGGTGAATCATGTCACACATGGATGGAGGGAGTGTGAAATGGCCTGTATGAATTACCCAGTCTTCTACAACCCAAAGGCATCCATTGGGGAACCCTCACCACTCACAGCCATCATCATAGCATACTAGCTGTCTGTGATAGGGGTGTCCAGGCAGTAGGTTGCTGTAAGAGTCCCTCAGCTAAGGGCTTCTGTGACCCAGACAGAGGTCGTGGTTGGGCTTTAGGGATGGAGGAATCGTCTTCTGTTTAGAGCATACCCAGAGAGCACAGCTCCTGAGGGAGTGGAGCTGACAGGGGGGATTTGAGGGTTATGGAGATTCACAGTTCAGATGGTGGAGATAAGTTTCAGTGACTTGGAGCCCAGCAAGGCATGGGTCTGAACCTGCCTAGTCCCTGCATTTGTATACAGCAAGATTCCTGCCCAGTCTCAAGGCCCAGTGAGAGTATACTGAGCTAGAGGGTTAGCAGTGAAGCTCTCCAAAAGAGAGTGACATGCTACTATCAGGATTTTTCTGGCTGGAACTTCCAGCCACAGTCTGGATTCATGTGAGCTGGGCTGCTCTGGAAACCCAATAAATAGACCAGGGAGGAAGTTCTGGATAGGTGGGGAGCTCAGGGCCTAAAGTTAGGCAGACCTGTGCCTTGAGCCCCTCAGTATGCCTTTGCCACTCACTGAGAAAGAGCCTTTGGCCCTCTGATGTCCTCTCTCTACAGTGAATTCAAAGTTTTATTTAGGGATGCTTCAAAGATTGAATCTGATAAAGGACTCTTATTTGAAAGTTTTGTTGTCTCATACTGTTGTTCTTCCAGTTAAGCCCCTGCATCTTCTGTGAGATCTCTCCTGCCCCAGCCCAAGCGGAACATGTTATCCTTAGCCAGAGCCCCTCTTTCCTAGGTCTCAGTAGCACAGTCCACATTGTATAGTTGAGCAGACAGGGTTGTCATGTACGGGTGTGTAGGCTGTGTACTATATACAAGAATCCTGACTGAGGGATGAATAAGAGCTCAAACCTAGTCTGGAGTGCACCAAAGCCTTAGAAAAAGAGGTTCCTGGGTTAGGAAGGTGGCTCAGTGGTAGAGTGCTTGCCTTGCATGCATGAGGCCCTGGGTTCAATTCCTCAGTACCACATAAGCAGAAAAAGCCAGAAGTGGCACTGTGGCTCAAGTGAGCTGAAGAGCTGAGGGACAGCACCCAAGCCCAGAGTTCAGGCCCGAAGACTGCCAGAAAAAGAAAAAGAGTTTCCTATATCTATCTCATCATAAAAATCCTGTATAGACTAGTGTGGACTTCAATCAAATAGATCTGGATTTGAATTCTGCCCATGTAATTTACTTAGGGTCCATGGGGAAGTGATAAATTCTCACAAAGCTCAGGTCCCTATCTTCCTGAGGTGGACCTACCTACCGTGAACTTAGCTTGAAGAGATAAGCTATAAAATGACAATGGAGTCCCATTTGGGGCTAATGTGAGCCCCCGTTCCTGCCTGTATTTGCACAACGCCTATGCCACTGGGATGAGGGTGGAATGGCGGAAAGGTTCCTTTGAGATTGTCTACTTGAGAATGCAGGCTTGATGCCAGATTTTTGAGGTGAAAGACAGCAGGGCTCAGTACTGAGGAAGGGCTCTGAGGACAGGTTCCTACTACTTGGCCCTGGCTGAACCCATATCCATTCCCAGCTGCCTTCCTCTGACGGGGCTCAATCCCCAGGCATTGCCAGCCCTGTCTGGCTTCTGCTATCAGGTTTGGTCTTGACATCCCACTGCTGGCTCATAGCCCCCAAGTCCATTGACCAATCCCACTCCAGTAGCCATAGAGTAGCTGTGCACCATGGTAGGGAGAGCTATGTTTCTAGGGATTCTCCTCACCTCCACAGGTATTCTGGGGTATTACAGCCCAGGTAGGCAAGTGGGGTCTGCAGGCTCCTGGAAGCTTGAGGTCAGTAAAGCTGCCTCTGGTCTGGGAGTTAGGCTGACTGCTAGTTGAGGCAGCCAGGGCTACACTGAGAACATGCCAAGGCTGCCAAGGGGAACACCACCACTCGCCCTTGCCCAATGTCACAGGTCCCAAAGGCACATAGGAGTGGCTTCTACAGCACAGTCCTGGCTAGGTTCTGGTTGTCAGGGCTCCCATACACTGTCCAGCACTGGCTGAGAATGTATAGCTACTCAGCCTTCAGCTCCCACCCAGCCTGCACTTCTTCCAGGTCTTGCTGACCACCTGGAAACAGATAGGACTACCTCTTGTGTGTTGGTGGGGTTTTGTTTGTTTGTTTGTTTGTTTTGTCATGGGGCTTGAAATCAGGGTGTGGGTGCTATTATGCCTGGTGAACTCTTTCGTTCAAGGCTAGCATTCTACCTCTTTGAGCCACAGGTCCACTTCTGGTTTTCCGGTGGTTAATTGGAGATAAGAGTCTTACTTTCCTGCCTGAGCTGGCTTTGAACTGCGATCCTCAGATCTTGGCCTCCTGAGAGACTAGGTTTATGGGCATGAGCCATCAGTGCCCAGCACCTCTTATGTGTTCTTATGGCAGCTATCACTTACTCTGACCTGCAACTGCTGGTTACTTCTCTATCTTGGTACTTAGTTGCTTGGTAAATTATGATAGGTAGGTGTTAGATGAGTAAATGGAAGGAAGGTAGAGGGAATACAAATACAGATCTGGATTTGAATGTGGTAGCTTCCTAACACTGTGCCTCAGTTTCCTATTCATGGCCTTTATTTAACAGATGACTTGCCGGGCGCTGGTGGCTCACGCCTGTAATCCTAGCTATTCAGGAGGCTGAGATCTGAGGATCATGGTTCAAAGCCAGCCCTGGCAGGAGAGACCGTGAGACTCCTATCTCCAATAAACCACCAGAAAACCGGAAGTGGCACTGTAGCTCAAGTGGTAGAGCGCTCGCCTTGAGCTGAAGAGCTGAAGGACAGCGCCCAGGCCCAGAGTTCAAGCCCCACGACCGACCAAAAAAAAAAACAAAAAAAAAAACAGATGACTTGTGAACATCAAATGTGCTAACATATGTGAGGTACTCAGAATAACTCTACCATCACATAAGAGCTTAACTATTAGAGAACAAAAGGTTATATAGGGTTCAGCCTACTCTTAAGGAACACACTGGCTGGGAAGTGGGTGTAGGGCTCCCCTGAGGCCACAGTTCTGACTCTTTCTTCATCCCTTTTCCTGGACAGATGAGCAACAAGCGTTCCAACAGCTTCCGTCAGGCCATCCTGCAAGGCAACCGCAGGCTGAGCAGCAAGGCCCTGCTGGAGGAGAAGGGGCTCAGCCTGTCGCAGCGGCTGATTCGTCATGTGGCCTATGAAACCCTGCCCCGGGAGATTGACCGCAAGTGGTACTATGACAGCTACACCTGCTGTCCCCCACCCTGGTTCATGATCATGGTCACGCTGCTGGAGGCAAGGACAAGGGGGGGGACAGGGGCTGCTCATTCTTGGGGGAGGGGTGCATGGGGAGAGGAGCCAAGAGGATCTCAGAGATCATGGCAGGAGCGGACAGTTTCCTCCCCCAAAGGATAATGGTTTAGCAGTTGTCATTGCAAGTCAGACAGGATTGTAATGAATGCAGGTGTGGTTCTATCCCTGAATGTGAGGAGACATCCAAAGATGATTACTTAAAGCAATTTTTGCTAAAGCCAAGTCTCCAATATGGCCACGGCTACCAAAACAACAACAATAGAAACAGCAAGTAGATTCCCTGATTTGGGGATTTAGCCAGGAAAACTTGGTAAAATGAATTTACCTTGGTTCCTCCCCAGGTGTGTATGGGTAAGGTGATGGCTTTCCAGGATTAATTTCCTGTCTGTAATGTAGAAGCAACCAGACCTAGAAGATTGCCTCTATTTGGATTGCTTTCTGAACACAAAAGTATCACACAAATGCTTCTGGGAAAGTGTTTATGAGCAAGTAAATGTGGGCTTAACATATTTTTAAAGAATATTCTCCCCTTAGGGAGTCAGCCATACATCTTGTCCAGAATCGGAAGGTTCTACTTGATGGAAGTCAATTCTCTTGGCTGTTCGACCCAGGAACCCGTGTAGCACACCCCACCAGCTCCTGAGTGAATGCTTCACTTCCCTTTGGCATGTTACGATCTTCCACTGTTTTTCTTCCAAAGCCACAGGCCTAATTACTGCCTCTGCATATGTTCTTATAAAGTTCCTGCCTAATCAAACGGCAGGATCTGTCAGCTTTGAGGCACCTTCTCCTTCGCTTTTGCGAAATCAGAAATAATCTGCTCTGCCGACCAGAGCTCGTCTGTTTGTTGTTATGGCTTTGTCCAAGCACAGATTGTGAAAGTTGTGTTTTATTTTTCCTGAGATATTCTTGGACTCATTCTTCAAGTGCTTACTGTGTTGGTCTATTTATTAACTTCTGTTTGAGGACCAACAACAATGCCATTGCTTTGGAAGCTGCATGCATTGCCAGGATACCCACAGGGTGTTAAGTGGACAGAACAGGTTTTCAGAGAGCCCATGGATTCAGCACCAGGGACCTAAGCCAAGTCCAGACTTAGCCTAAAAAGTCTTAACCTCCACTAATTATAGCTTTCTCCTCTGCATGTAATGGGCATAGGGATGATTCTGTACTTTCTCACTTTCATTTGATTATTTTGAGACAGAGTTTCACTATTATTTCCCATGCCTCAGTTTTTCAAGTGCTAGGATTATAGGAACCTGCCATCACTTTTTTTTTTGCTGGTCCTGGGGCTTGAACTTGGGGCCTGGGCACTGTCTCTGAGCCTCTTTGGACTCAAGGCTAGTGCTCTACCATCAAGGTTAGTGATATACCACTTGAGCCACAGTGTCACTTCTGGCTTTTTCTGAGTAGTTTATTAGAGATAAGAGTCTCATGGACTTTTCTGCCCATGCTGGTTTCGAACTATGATCCTCAGATCTCAGCCTCCTGATAACAGGTGTGAGCCACTGACACCTGATACCTTTTTTTTTTTTTTTAACAGTACCAGGGTTTGAACTCAGGGCCTTACACTCTTACTTGGCTTTCTTTTCAGGACTGGTGCTCTACCACTTGAGCCATGCCTCCAGTTCATATTACTTTATCATTTTTAAGCTTCCTGACCACTCTGGAAGCAAACACTGATAAAGTGGCAGATGTCTGTGTATCACTCATGTTACCCACTCAGAATACTGCCCCAAACCACTTAGGGTAGCTCACTATTTCAATGCACAAGATCACTTAGGAAATTCAGCATATGCTATGACAGACTGCGTGCCAGTGGTTCACATATATAATTCTGGACACTCAGAAGTCTGAGATCTGAGAATTTCCTTTCAAAGCCAGCCCAGGCAGACAAATCTGAGAGATTCTTATTTTCAGTTAACTAGCAAAACACTGGAACTGTCAGGCGGTAGAGCACCAGCCATGTAAGAATGTGAGGAACTGAGTTCAAGCCCCACGCATGCATGCACGCTCACGTATGCGCATGCGCATTTTAGGCTTTCGTCTTCTACAAAACTGATTTGTATGGAGTGTTGGTGAAGATGTGGGGGACCCAGACCTTTATGTAAGTGTAGATATAGTCACTATGAAAAAAATGTCTAGTATTTGTTAAAAACAAACAGAACTGCATATGACCCAGAAATTTCACTTCTGAGTGTGTATCAAAGGAGATGAAAGCAGGGTCTAGAAAAGATATTTGCACACTGTGTTTGTAGCAACATAACACAATAGCTCAAAGTGTCCAAAGACAGATGAATGGTTTAAAAGGAAAACTCTGGAATATTATTTAGGTTTTAAAAGGAAGGAAATCTGACACATGCCACAACACAAAAATACTACAAGCTGGAAAATACGCTAAGTAAAATGAGCCAGTTACAACAGGAGAATGACTGGGTGATTCCTGTTATATGCAGGGGCAACAGGAAGTTATTGTTTAACAGGAACACAATTTCAGGTTTGCAAGATGAAAGGCCATTGGTGACAGTGATCTGATATGAATATATTTAATGCCACAAACTAAACTCAACACTGGAAAGTGGTTACAGTGGTGAATTTTATATGTATTCTACCATAATATTTTTTGTTTGTTAAAGAAATCAACGTGCCTCATCCTAGCTACTCAAGAGGCTGAGATCTGAGGATCACAGTTCAAAGCCAGCCCAGCTTGGGCAGGAATGTCTATGAGACTCTTATCTCCAATTAGTCAAAAAAAAAAACAAAAACAGGAAGTGGAGCTATGGTTCGAAGTAGTAGAGCACTAGCCTGAAGCAAAAAAGATCTGAGACAGCATCTAGACCCTGAATTTAAGGCCCAGGACTGATTAAAAAAAAAAAAGAAAGAAAGAAAGAAAGAAATCAATCTCTACTGGATGCTGGTGGCTCATGCCTGTAATCCTAGTTATTTAGGAGGCTAAGATCTGAGGATCAGTTTGAAGCCAATCCAGGCAGGATAGTTTGTGAGACTCTCATATCCAATTAACTCCTCCTCTCTCTCTCTCTCTCTCTCTCTCTCTCTCTCTCTCTCTTCTTCTCTTCCTCTCTCTCTCTCTCTCTCTCTCACACACACACACACACCCACACAGCAGGATGGATGAGGGATGGCTGGGCATTGGGTGGACACTGGCTGTGTGATGATTTTTGTTCTCTGAGAAGGGAGGATGACAGCCTACTGTAGGGACTCCACTGCTGGTCATCATGAAGTATATCTCTGGGCAACCATGCCTAGCAATGAACAAGTCTTCTCACTCCATTCTGTGCAGGTTGCTTTTTTCCTCTACAATGGGGTATTGCTGAATCAATTTGTGCTGCAGGTGACCCATCCACACTACCTAAAGAACTCACTGGTTTATCATCCCCAGCTCCGGGCTCAGGCTTGGCGCTACCTGACATACATCTTTATGCATGCAGGGTGAGTACCTGTCTTCTTTCTACTAAGAATCCCTGCTGATAAGTGGTCAGGATCATCTAAAATTGAAAATATATGCACATATACATACAGGTTTTTTTTTAAGTGCCTGGGATTGAATCCAGGCCTTTGCACATCCCAGGAAAGTGCTCTGCCACTGAGCTATGACCCCTAAGGCCCCTGGAGTGCCTGGGAAGGTTCTCCAGGTTTGAGGTTTGGAGGGACAGAGACAGCCAACATTTGGGGAGGGCCCAGCAAGGCAAACTGTTATGCTGTGTGCCTAGGAATCCAGAAGTTACTGTGGTAGAGAAGCAAAACTCAGGAGCTCTGGGTTATTCCTCATCTGGTCTCTTAGTCTTTTATTTTTTAATTTAATTTTATTTCTTGCTGGTCCTAGGGCTCAGACTCTGGGCTTGGGTGCTACCCCTGAGCTCCTTTTTAGCTCAAGGCTAGTGCTCTACGACTTGGCCACAGCACCACTTCTGGCTTTTTCCTGTGATTAATTGGAAATAAGAATTTCACAGGCTTTCCTGCCCGGGCTGGCTTCAAACCATGATCTTCAGATCTCATCCTCCTCAGGAGCTAGGATTAAAAGGCATGAGCCATCAGCACTGGGCTAGTCTCTTAGTCTTTTCAAGGGCATAAGCGCAGAAAGTCTCTAAGGTCTCACATGGCATTGTCACTCAACCTTTCCAGTGAATATTCCTTTCTCATCGTAGAATCCTTTTGCTAGTATAGGCAGTAAAAGGTAGAAGATTCCAGCAGAGTGGGGATTCAGGACACAGCTCAACTTGTCCAAGTTACCTTGAAGGTGCTCATGTGTCAGCTCTGTAGCCCAAGTAAGCCTCCAGTCAAGGTCTTGCTGACCAAGCTAGAGCCATAACCCAAAGTAAAACCTAGACTCCTTGTTTCAACACCCTCCCAACCCCAGGGAGCTGTTCAGTGTCTGCAAGCTCAATTTAAATGAGAAAATGGACTTTAAAGTGCTTTGTAAACTTGAGAGCCCCATATTGATTGAATATAGTAGTAGTAACCTTACGATCTTTTCTGGTAATACTTAAACTTGGCTTAGACACACCACACATTTAGGGACAAGATCTGGCACCAGATGACTTGTATTATACAAAGGTAGAGGTTCACAGGGTAAGAAAGCCTACTATCCTTTCTCTTTGCCCTGAGAATTGTGGAGAGGAACAGGTACATTTTCATACCACAAAGGAGAAGCTTCCTCGATGAACCTTAAAGAAGAACTTGAAATTATTAAGTTACAGGTATTCCCTTTAATGCTTGCTGTGTTTTTGAGAATATCTTTTGGTTTTTGGCAAGTGTTTTTGCCAGTACCAGGCAGGGTTTGAACTCAGGGCCTCATACTTGTTTGGATTGCTTGGTTGTCTGGCACTCGTCATTTGAGCCATGCCTCTAGCCTCACTTTTTTGCCAGTTACCTTAGAGTAGAGAATTTCGTGCACTGTCTGCCCCAGGTTGTCTTTAAACGTAGATCCTCCAGATCTCAATCTCCCGAGTAGCTAGGATTTATAGATAAAAGCCACCAGACCTGGCAAAAAAAAAAACATTTTGTTTTTCAGCATCAGTAGTTTTTACAAATATACTAGAGTGCTCTGTTAACCTCAAGGCCAGAGATAGAGCAAGTCAGGTAGATCCCTAGCTAGGCCCCTAATTAGTTATGTGACTTTAAGTCAATCCGTGCCCCTCTCTGAGCGTTGGCTTTGTGCATATGAACCCATGACACTGTTATGTCTTCTTGACTGTGCTTAGTCTTGCTCACAGTGGCAGACAGATACTGCTAGTCTCCACCCGGGCCCTGTTTGTGAATTCAGTCCTGGCTGGGACACTTGGGAGGCTGTTTCCAAAGTAGTCTGGCTGCATTGTCTTTCTCCCCCACATACCAGGAGCTCCTCAGAAGTAGGGACAAGAGTCTTGCTCACTCCTGAATCTTCAGCCTCTCTTCACATGGTGTTTGTTGAGTGAACTAATGAGTATGATCTGTTACAGGATAGAACATCTGGGACTTAATGTCGTGCTGCAGCTGCTAGTAGGGGTGCCCCTGGAGATGGTACATGGAGCCACCCGCATCGGGCTTGTCTATGTGGCCGGCGTTGTGGCAGGTAGGAAGGAGGGCCCTGTGTCCAAGGGATGAACCTTCCCAGGATGGATTGAGGGAGAGCCTGTAAGTGGGACAAGCTTCCAGATCACACATGGAATTCTCATTGCCAAGGTTCCAGGCAAATCTCCCACCTCCCTGGAGCCCAGACAGGAAGATGTGTGAGGCTTAGTGGGGCAGAACACAGGATTTGGAACAGGCAGATTGACAGTGTCTGCATTCTATGAGCTTGGCAAAATTCTTTAACCTCTGTCTTGGTCCTGTCATGCTTGAAGAAGGAACTAACGAGCTCTGTAGGGATGTAAGAGCTATGTGGGTAGGAAAATGGTGCTGTTTAAATTGTGCAGGTTGTGGTAGAATGCTAGCCTTGAGCACAAAAAGCTCAGGGACAGCACCCAGGCCCTGAGTTCAAGCCCCACAACTGACCCCCCCACCCCCCCCAAAAAAAAGTAAATTGTGCAGGGTGCCAGGTGCTGGTGGCTCTCACACCTGTAATCCTAGCTACTCCGGAGGCTGAGATCCGAGGATCACAGTTCAAAACCAGCCCAGCAAGAAAATCTGTGAAACTCTTTCTCCAATTAATTATCAGAAAAAGTGGAAGTGACAATGTGGCTCAAAGTGCTAGAGCTCTAGCTTTGAGCAAAAGAGCTCAAGGACAGCATCTAGGTCGTGAATTCAAGCCCCATGACTGAGAAAAAAAAAATATGCAGGGTGAATGAGATTGTGTAGGGCAGCCATGGACCCAAACCTATGTATCTTCCTGGCCAGAGCAGCAGCTGAACCCACAGGGAGATCTTGCCTCTACTTAAATTAACCATTGTCCCCTTGATTGACCATCTGAGTACAAGAGGAATCTGGTCTAGGAGACAGTGGAGAAGTTGAGGGTGGAGGGGTGTGTCAGCCTGACACCTGCATAGGTGTGGCTGTGGCAAGTGATCCTTCTCCCTGGAGCAAGGAGTAGAGAAGGGAGCTGGGGGAGCAGAGCTGATTTCTGCAGAAAAAAAATCTCACCAGCCCAGCTTCTGTGCACCAGGGATCCTCCCTCATTATGTCTCCAACTTTATTGCTCTTTTTTTTTCTTAAAAAAAATTTTTTTACAAGGTTTGCTACCTCAGCTCTTCAGCTTGACAGCTGTACCCAAGAGAGTTTTGTGTGTATGTTTAAGTGAGATCTTAATCCTTTCTGAGTGGCCTTAAACTTACCATCAGAGAGCTGGGCAGCTTTGGCCTTATAAATACCATCTAGGCAGGGGCCCTTGGTAGCCACTAAACTGGTCTCAAATATAAAAGGGAAGGATCCCACCCTACCCCTGTGACACTGGTCTGCTAGTTGGAAAACCCTTGACCTAGAAGATTCTCCTGTTATTTCTATCTGTGGTCACCAGTTTAGACCTTGTGCCCTCACAACCCTTTCCTAGAATCTCCCACCTACTGTGTCCTTAAGAAAGGTCGACCAGATCTGGGAAGTTGGCTCAGTGGTAGAGTGCTTACCTCGCATGCATGAGGCCCTGGGTTCCATTCCTCAGCACCACGTAAGCAGAAAAAAGATGGAAGTGGTGCTGTAGCTCAAGTGGTAAGAGTGCTAGCCTTGAACTGAAGAGCTGAGGGACAGCACCCAGGCCCAGAGTTCAGGCTCTGTAACTGACAAAAAGAAAGAAAGAAAGAAAGAAAAAAGGTCTACAAGGGGCTGGGAAGGTAGCTCAGTGGTAGAGTGCTTGCCTTGCATTCATGAGGCTCTGGGTTTGATTCCTCAGTACCCCTTAAGCAGAAAAAGCCAGAAGTGGCACTGTGGTTCAAGTGGTAGAGCACTAGCCTTGAGCTGAAGAGCTGAGTGGCAGCATCCAGGCCCAGAGTTCAGGCCCCGTGAACAACAACAACAAAAGAAAGGTCTAGGAGCCTGGCACTGGTGGCTCACTCCTGTAATGGTGTCTACTCAGGAGGCTGAATCTGTGGATCAAGGTTCAAAGCTAGCCCAGGCAGGAAGTCACGAGACTTAACTACCAAAAAAGCAGAAGTGGTAATACTCAAGCTTAGGGATAACACCCAGGCTCTGGGTTCAAGCCCCAGGATAGGCACACACACATATACAAAAAAAAAAAAAGAATGAAGGAAGTAGAGCTGCGACTCAAAGTAGTAGAGTGTTAACCTTGAGCAAAAGAGCTCAGGGACAGTGCCCAGGCTCTGTTATGGAGTTCATGCTCCATAACTGCTAAAAAGAAAAAAAAAAAAAGAAATGATCAAAAGAAGATGGACACCAGTGGCTTACACCTGTAATCCAAGCTACTCAGAAGTCTGAGATCTGAGGATCATAGCTCAAAGCAGCCTGGAAGAAAAATCCATCAGACTCTTATCTCCAATTAATCACAGAAAAAGCTAGAAGTGGCACTGTGTCTCTGAGCAGTAGAGCACTAACCTTGAACAAAAGGAACTTGGGGAGAGTGCCAAGGCCCAGAGTTCAAGCCCCAGGACCAGCAAAAACAGGGAGGGGGGAGGGGCAGAGAGGGGGAGGGGGAGGGTCTAGGGTGATGAAGGTCCAGTGCTGTGTAAGAGAGAGAAAGGAGGTGAGGGAGGGAAGGAAGGAGAGAGAGAGAAGAAGGAAAGAAGAGGGAGGGAAGGAGGAAGGGAAAAAGCACTTCTTTGTACCCCATTTTCTCAGCCTCCAACACACCACTGGGTCCTTACATCTAGGGAGTTATAGCTTCATTTTCTATACCTAGACACTCAAGAGTCCCAGATGTTAAATGGCGGGGAACGGGGAAGATGCTCGTAACACTTGCAGTTAGTAGTCAATTAGATGGGGGTGCTATATTACCTGGAAGACAGCAGTAAGATCCAGAATGACTCAGACCTCAGTCAGAACAGATGACACAGTCGGGAGACGGCAGGTAGCACTCCCAGTGATGTCAGCATGGAGTGGGAAGTACAGACACAAGTGGGATTCATCACCTAAATTGGTGGATGTAGGGCTGTAGCAAACTGCCAGCCAAGAGCGAGCCCTGTGCTACCTGAGTCATTGAGTCAGAACAGAGGTCACTCTGGTCACCACATATCATGCCATTGATCTTCGGGATTGAGTCAGTTGATCTCCTAAGCCTGTTTACTGACAGCCAGACCAGAGGGAAGAGCTACCTTGCACTACTATAATTAACCTCTACAACCATCCCATGTGGCAGTTACTGCTGTTTTCTACCTGGTACAAGTAACCGAACCTAAGACTTTGGGGTTGGGAATATAGTTTAGTGGTGTAGCATGTGTTTAATACTGGCCTTATGTTTAATATGTGGGAGGCTCTGGGTTCAATCTCCAGCACCTACACACGCACACATAAACAAAGCCAGAAGCCAAGGCTTATAGGAACAATTGACTTGAGAAGAAGACACAGCTCAGCTGTGATGGATTTGGGCTCACACTCATACTGTGTTCCCAAAAACTGTCCCATACACATTACCATAGTATAAAGATGACCAAGAGGTAGGTTTTTGTCTTTGTGCCTTTATTATCATAAAGAAAAGGAGACATGATAGGTGTCAGGCCTACTTTCTGATTCCTGCCTAGTGAAAGTATTGCTAGCTGGGAATGTGGCCTAGTGGTAAAGTACTTGCCTAGCATGCATGAAGGCCCAGGTTCAATTCCTCAGTACCACATACACAGAAAAAAACAGAAGTGGTACTTTGGCTCAGGTGGTAGAGTGTTAGCTTTGAGCTGAAGAGCTTAAGGACAGCACTCAGGCCCAGAGTTCAAGTCCCACAACCTACCCCCCCCCAAAAAAAAAAAGAGAGAGAGAAAGAAAAGTATTGCTTATCCAACGTCATCACATTTTATAGCAAAAATGGCTCACCCTTACTGTGTATATACAATTTCCAGAAGTGTGATACAGGGCTCCAAGACGTGTGCATCACAACAGTTCTGTGATGTGGGTGCTATAACACCCATTTTACAGGCAGTTTAGAGAGGTGATATGATCAGCCAGTTGAACTGCAGTGAGCCCTGTGCTTCTAATCAACATTTACGCCAATAGGCAACTCACTCATGACAACTAACAGTGTAAGCTATTAACAGTGTAACTACTTTAAAAGCCAGTATCTTTTCTTCTTATTATGTCTTCAAAGAGTTGTACAAGGAGGTTTCAATTTAACTTATCCATTTATGTGTACAATGCATCCTTATCAGTCACTCCTTCCATCCATCATGCTTTCCCATCCCCATCCTTCTCAAGTTCTCTAGTTCCATTTTCGTGTGTGTACATTCAGTGCTATGACTGTATAAATTCATCATTCCTCTCTCCATTAACTTGTCCCCCCCCGCCCCGCTTTAGTTCCTGTACCTCCAGTGAAGACATGTTTTAGCTTTCTCGTATTTGTTTTGTTAAACTGTCTGTTGATAGCTCAAATAGGTTACAGCATGAAATCTCCTGTGTATATCATACTTTAGTCAATTAAAACTACTATCTTAAGTACATCACTAATCTTTTTTTCTTTTTCTTCTCCTTTTTTTTTTGGTTGGTCATGGGGCTTGAACTCTGGGCCTGGGCGCTGTCCCTGCGCTCTTCAGCTCAAGGCGAGCGCTCTACTGCTTCAGCCACAGCGCCACTTCTGATTTTCGAGTGGTTTGTTGGAGATAAGAGTCTTACGGGGCTGGGAAGTTGGCTCATGGGCTGGGAAGTTGGCTCAGTGGTAGAGCGCTTGCCTTGCATGCCTGAGGCCCTGGGTTCGATACCTCAGCACCACATAAGCAAAAAGAAAAAAGCCGGAAGTGGCGCTGTGGCTCAAGTGGTAGAGCGCTAGCCTTGAGCTGAAGAGCTGAGGGACAGCGCCCAGGCCTAGAGTTCAGGCCCCACAGCCAAACCCCCCCCCCAAAAAAAAAAGAGTCTTACGGACTTTCCTGCCCAGGCTGGCTTTGAACTGAGATCCTCAGATCTCAGCTTCCTGAGTAGGTAGGATTATAGGCGTGAGTCACCAGCACCCAGCTCTTTTTATTTTCTGAGACCCACGATTTGAACTCAGTGATGCTTTTGCGTATTGGCTGGTGTTCTACCACCTGAGATATGCCTCTAACCTTTTTTCTTATAGATTATATAGATTATAAGACATGTATGCATTCCCAGAGCCTAGAACCTTTTAGGTAATAAATATTAGTAGAGTGCATGAAAGAACACATGAATAAATAAGGTTACATTGCTTACATGGATTTGTTGTGCCAATTTTTACTTGGATTTTTGCTAATGGCTAAGAAAGAAAAATGCCTTATGCCTTAAAACTTTCCAAGTTAAAACTACGGAAAGTTGTGCTTCATGCAAGGTCCCCAATTGATGAGTTCTGGCATAGACCCAGAGTATTGTTTTGAAGTCCCTTGTAGTCCTGATTAGAACCAGCCCCTTGATCCACCACTGGGTGGAGGTAAGGTTTACCATCACTGCAGTTTGCCATTCTCTCCCCGTCTGGTGTACCCACAATCTCTGTGAGAATTCATACTGGTCTTATGAAATTGTCATCCCCGAGGTTCCTAGCTGGTGAGGGGATCTTGCTGGGCCTGTATTTCAGGTCATGTCTTAGGATAGCCTTTGGTACTCTATATACACATATCCCTTGTTTGTGTTCAGCCCATCCAATCCTTTCATCCCCCAGCTCATTTGCAGGAAAGTCTAGCCTGTGGTCCAGGTTTCTAGAACCTCAGGATTCTAGAACCAGGATCTGAGCCTCAGCCCCTGAGTCATAGGCCAAGCCAGGGATCATTGAATTCCTCTAGAAGAAACATTTGAGGTCCCCTCTAGTGTGGATGGTAAGATTTTTCTCTCCCCCACACCCCAATTCAAGTAGGGCCACACTCTGGTCAAGTTTCCTTTAAAACGGTGGTTTTACTGCTCAGAATTTGGAAAACTTTAGATTTAATTTTGTAGATGTGAAAACTTGAAGCCTGAAGAATTCAGGGGCAATTGCCCAAGGTCATATAACAGTCTAGCCACATACACACCCCATTCTAGATATGTCTATGGACCAAAGCTGGCCCCTGCCCTAGGAATCAAGACTCTGAATCATGAATAGGGTGAAGGAAAGGTCAGTGTTGTTCAAGTTGATCCTGCCACGGACTCTTTCCTGCCTGCAGGCTGCCTGTAGCCTACCCTGGTGGATGATGCTGGAGTGGGAAGTGGGAGCTGCCTTGCCAGAGAGGCTGGGCCTTCTTCTGTCCAAATGGTAATTAATGAGGAGCGGCTTGGGCAGCCAGCCCTGCACAGCCCTGCAATGCAGCCTTCTCAGACAACCCGCCAGGAGAGCGTGGGAATCCTTTGTCATGCAGATCTCTGCCTATGTATGTGCCACCCTGGGAGGTTTTTCTTTCTCTTATATATGGCTGACCCTGTGGCTGGGTCATCAAAAAAAAAGAAAAGAAAAAGGAAGAAAGAAAGAAAAGAAAGTTATCTGACAATAGATCAATACCTTATTAAAGCCAGAGTGAAGGCATGAAAGAGATGCAGAAAGATTTATAGTTGCCCTGGGAAGGGAGAAGAACTTTGGAAGTCCCCAGTTCACTAACAGTTTGGGGTTTTCTTCTGAGAGATTGACACTTAAGTATTTCTAGTGGGGAATCTCTTCCTTGAAAGTGCTCACAAGGGATTAGGGAGAGGCAGATGGACAGTGACATGCTGATATTCTATAGGGGAATTCTCCATGTCCAGATTTAGAAGGTCAGAGTTCCTGACCATCTTCCTAAGGTGTGGATCCCTCACCCCTGAGCCTGCAGAAGTCAAATCTCTGCCTGTCCTTCCCGTTTCCAATGGCTAATTGGCTCCAGAGCCTGCAGGCATTTTCCAGTGGTTGTTTCTGCTCACTCACCCAGGCCAGCCACTGCTCACCCTCTGTTGCCCTGGGCTCTACCTCCCAGTTATTTTTAGTCTCCTGTGTCTTGCCCTGGAAGCCAAAGCATTGATCACACTTAAATAAGACCAGAACAATAAATTTCCCATCTCCTCTCTGCCCAGCTTTCCTTCCAGAGCAAAATTTTGTCATCCCCTAGACCAAAAGCCATAGGCCTCCCTTTCCCCCCAGAGAGTATGACATCATCTGTATCTTCCTAAGGACTTTTCAAGGACATTTTTTTCCTCCAGAAAAGTCCCCACTTGGGATCCTGTTGGTCTTTTGTGCTTTTTCAACTGCAGGGTGATTGGGAGTGATGGTGCTTTCTAGATACAGCTGCGTAAAAGGGACAGTGGTAGAAGTGCCTGCAGAGGGAGTGCCTACTTTTGAGAGCTTTGATCAGTAACACACATTTTGGATTGGGGATGTAGCTCAGCAGTAGAGCACTTGCCTAGCATTTGTGAGGCCCTGGGTTCTATCCAAAAAGAAAAAAGAAAGAACGAACATGAGTTTTGTATCAGGCAGAGTGGACTCAAGTCCTACTTCTAGCACTTCCAGGATACTTGGCTCAGATCCTTCTCTTTTCTCTGCTTGAGGGTGGAAGGGAGGAATGGATGTAAAATGCTTGCCCAGTGTCTTCCATGCACTGCCTGTGTGTAGCCAGTTCTTTCTGGGTAACTACTGCCACTTGTTTTTGTTGTTTCTACTTCAGAACCCTGTACCAGCGCAATGTCAGGTAGAGAGGCAGGTGATCTAGGTTATAACTCAGGATCCACTTTGAGCAAATCACACATTTTTTCCTCTTCTTCCTCCTCTTCCTTCTCCTCCTCTTCCTCCTCCTCCTCCTCTTCCTCTTCCTTCTCTTCCTTTTCCTTCTCCTTCTCCTCCTTCTCTTCCTCCTCCTCCTCCTTCCTTCTTCCTTCTTCCTTTTCTTTTGAGACTGGGCTTGACTGTAGCCCAAATTGGCCTCAAACTCATAATCCTTCTACATGAGTGCTAAGAATACAGGTGTGCCACCCACTCTTGGCTCACTTTTTCCTTCTTTAAATCTTGCATTCCCTTGTGTAAAGTGTGAAAGTTGAATCAGGTGCTAATTTCTACCATAAACTAATTCTTTGGGAAATCCAAGGCAACGTTGGTATCAAAGGAGGAAGAGATGGAGGCTTTTGCTGTGGAGTCTTCCCACTCAGGTATAGCTGAGCCCCATATTCTTGACAACTCTCCATTTTTCTATACTAGGGTCTCTGGCTGTGTCTGTGGCTGACATGACTGCCCCTGTTGTGGGCTCTTCTGGAGGGGTGTATGCGCTCGTCTCTGCCCATCTGGCCAACATTGTCATGGTGAGTCATTCCTGTTCCTACAGCTCTCTTCTTTGCCTCTTCTCTGTCTTCGCTGGACCTGACCATTACACTACTAGAGCTGGCCCAGCCTAGGCAGACCTGCTTGTTTACAAGGTTTACATGTACTCCTCCCCCTCTGCAGGCCTATTCTAACTGGGACGCTCCTGTACCTGTCCACATGTTCTCTAATCATGGCATAGCCTATGAATATATCTCTTTCATTCTTCTACCTATTTCCTACTTGGTGATTTTAAAACATGTTAACATTTAGTCATTAGAAGCTGAGCACAAGTTAACTGAATAAGCATGATGCCCTGGGTTCAAATACGAGTACTGACAAAAAAAAAATTGGCCACTGGTATGCGTGTCATTGAAATTCCTTGTTTGCCATAGATGGTTAAATAAGAAGTCCTTAAAGATTACCTCTCTCAAATTCTCAAGTAGAAAAAAGGAGGCTTTGAGGAGTTAAGTGATCACCCAAACTCACATTGAGGTTATATATAATCAGGACTTCAGTCGACAAGTTCTGACAGCCATTCCAGTGTGGTTCCCATGCACCAGCCCCTCACAATGGTGGGACACAATGATGGGCAGTGTAGGGGTAGGGGTCTATAGAGCCCACTTCCTAAAGGGTGACCTTAGACCAGTTACTGACTGTTTTGTGCCTCAGTTTCTAAATCTGTGAAAATGAATGATAGGCAGTAGTGAGAGAAAATGAACATAACCATATAAGGTTAATTTCCCACTCCTCATAGAAGCACAAATGTAGAACCTTTCAGGGCAAAAAAAGGAAGGAAAGAAGGAAGGGAGGAAGGAAAAGAAAGAGAGAAAGAAAGAAAGAAAGAGGGAAAGAAAGAAAATTTAAAAGAATGAGTCTGATGGGGGATGATGAGGCGCCACCTGTTTTGCTGGAAGTCTGAGTATGGAGGAAATCTGAGTCTGGTGGGGTGTGGTTGCCCTACCTCATGTTCCTCCTGGCCTAGGAGCCTATAGGCCTGACATTCTCCCTGGCTAGGGCTGCTCTTGTGCTCAATGGTGCCCATTAACTTAAGAGGAAGGAGGTTGGGAGAGATGAAGAGAAGAGGACGGAGGGAGGGGAGGGAAGGGAAGGGAGGACAAGTAGGCAGGCTCCTCCTCCCCACCCCTCCTTATCCTGTCTATCCCCACGTGGCTTTTGTGGCACTGTTTGATTATAGCAGTGTTTGGAGACCAGAGTCTCGCTTACAGTCCTCTTGCAGCAGCCTCCTGAGTACTGGTATTTTCTTGAGCAGTCCAGTTCTCACTGGACACATACCCCACACACCCCTTTTCTTTTCCCAAGTGTCCCCTTTGTAAATGGAGTAGGCAGACACTGAGTAATTACACTTGCTCCTGGCCTGAATTTTTTGGCAACTTTCAAGTGACTATGGGTACAGTTTGCATGTGTGAATGTGAAGGTGGAATGTGTGTTCATCCATGTATATTACACACACACACACACACACAAGTTCAGTCTGCTGAAAGCCCGTGAGCCCACGTTACCTCACATGGCCCTTTTAAATGGGTCATTCTGTATCAGTGCCAAATCTTTCCCCAGACACAGCTTTTCCTCTGAATTTCTCCTCCTCCATTCCCCCTCCCCCTGCCCCAATTCCTCTCTGTAGGAAAGGAAGGACTGACCTCCTCCCTCCCATTCCTCCAAGATGTGGATGCGAATGGAGTGGGGGGAACACATGCCACAGATCAAGAATATGGGAAGGGAGAAAGAGAAGTTCAGAAAGATGCCCTAGTCCCACCCCCCTAATCTCATAGGAAATAGCCCTGATGTCCCAGAAATTCTCAGTGGGCAGATAGTCTACCTAAGCTGAGCATCAGGACAGAGGGGAGGTGTGGAAACAGTGTTGCTCCAGTCCATGCTTTGGTCTGACAAGTAGCCCATGACCTGTGGCTGTGGTGATCACGAGCAGTCCTTCTGAGCCCTTCCCTGTCTCAGTGCCTTCCCAGAAGCAAGCAGCTTTCCCTGCCTCCTGAGAGGTAGGCAGGCTTCCGGGTGTATAACCTTCTCTAGAAATATGTGTGGTGCTTTCTGATTAGGAAAGTCACTGTCCCTTTGTCAAGGGGCCAACTTTACCCAAATTACCTCAATGCTGGGCAATTCAGAGATGTATTGAACTAACCATATGAAATAGACATTTCTGTAGCCTAATATGTGTCAGGTACCCAGGCTTGAATTCAGGGTCTGGGTATTGTCACTACCTTTATTTGGGGGAGGGGTCCATTGTGGGGCCTGAACTCTGGGCCTGGGCGCTGTCCCTCAGCTCTTCAGCTCAAGGCTAGCGCTCTACCACTTGAGCCACAGCACCACTTCTGGCTTTTTCTTTTTGCTTATGTGGTGCTGAGGAATCGAGCCCAGGGCCTCAGGCATGCAAGGCAAGCGCTCTGCCACTGAGCTACCTTCCTAGTCCCACTACCTTTTTTTTTTTTTAATCGAGGCTGGTACTCTACCACTTGAGCCACAGCTCTACTTGCAGCTTTTTGGTGGTTAATTGGAGAAAAGAATTTCATATAGATTTTCTTTTTTTTTTTTTTTTTGTCAGTTGTGGGACTTGAACTCTGGGCCTGGGCGCTGTCCCTCAGCTCTTCAGCTCAAGGCGAGCGCTCTACCACTTGAGCTACAGCGCCACTTCCGGTTTTCTGGTGGTCGGTCTCTCCTGCCCGGGCTGGCTTTGAACCACGATCCTCAGATCTCAGCCTCCTGAGTAGCTAGGATTACAGGCGTGAGCCACCAGCGCCCGGCTTCATATAGTTTTTCTATTCTGACTGGCCTTGAACCTCAGTCCTCAGAGCTCAACCTCCTGGGTAGCTAGGATTATAGGCATGAGCCATTGTCACTAAGCTCCCAGAAACATTTGAATGTCAGCAATTTCATATGGATCAGCCTAAAATTGTCTTTAACTCTAGAATGAAGATTTATTATTTATATTTTAAAATATTTCTTATTGAGATTAAGTGGTTATATAAATTTTACTGTATTGTGAGATAGTGATACTTAACATCAAAAACACATTTAACCTTCATGAGGCAAATTATCATCATGGTCTATAATGTTTGTGAACTCTATGAACTTTGACAATACAACTATTTCTTCCACATCGGGTGATATGTACTCCCTTTTGTTTAGTGTCAGCTGTTCCTTCTTTCCCTCTCATTCCCTCGCTCCCATCTTTGCTCTTGAGTTGCTTAGTTCGTTAGATTTAGAGTGTTATGTTTGTACATAACACCTTATCAGAGCAGAAGGCAGAAAAACTATGAATTAAATATTCAGAGGAACTGGATTTGAGAACCTAGTCACCATCTTAATATTTGAGTGGGTCACACACAATTGTGGGGCCCAGCTGCTCCCATCTGTAATTCATCTTCACAAGGCAGTTGTTAAGATGTGGGATAGTAGACTTGAAATGCTTCCTCTATGGCAAATCACCATACAACTGTGAGATCCCCCTTGTGTACACACGTACACACACACACACACACGTTTATGTGTGTGTTTTTGTTTTTTTGGGTCAGTCGTGGGGCTTGAATTCTGGGCCTGGGCACTGTCCCTCAGCTCTTCAGCTCAAGGCTAGTGTTCTACCATTTGAGCCACAGCGCCACTTCCAGTTTTTCTGCTTATGTAGTGTTGAGGAATCGAACCCAGGGCCTCATGCATGCAAGGCAAGCACTCTACCACTGAGCAACCTTTCAGCCCCCTGGCTGTGTTTTTATATAGAATTCCTTTAGCTATAAATTCTGCCTGATGTCTATACTGAAAAAAAATCTGTTGTTTTGGCTCCAGATACATGATTTAAAAAAAAAAGTGGTTAGTATTTCTGTTCTCAGAACTGTTTAAATGAGACATTTTGCTACCCTAAATGAAAATATGTCTTACTGGGTATGGTAGGGTACCCCTGTAATTCTAGTACTCAGGAAGCTTAGAAGGAGAATTTAATGCCAAGCTTGACCCTGTCAAGATTTTTCCTCAAAAAGACAAATGGCAGCCGGGCGCTGGTGGCTCACGCCTGTAATCCTAGCTACTCAGGAGGCTGAGATCTGAGGATCGTGGTTCAAAGCCCGCCCAGGCAGGAGAGACGGTGAGACTCCTATCTCCAATAAACCACCAGAAAACTGGAAGTGGCGCTGTAGCTCAAGTGGTAGAGCGCTCGCCTTGAGCTGAAGAGCTGAGGGACAGCGCCCAGGCCCAGAGTTCAAGCCCCCACAAAAAAAAAAAAAAAAAGACAAATGGCCAGCTGCCAGTGGCTCATGCTTATAATCCTAGCTACTCAGGAGGCTGATATCTGAGGATCTCAGTTTAAAGCCAACAGAGGCAGATAAAACTGAAAGACTTTTATCTTCAGTAAACCAACAAAAAGCCATAAATGAAGCTGTGGCTTAAGAAGTAGAGCAAGAGCCTTGAATGAAAAAGCTCGGGTACAGCACCTAGGCCCTGAGTTCAAGCTCCATAACTGGCACAGGCAAAAAAGAAAATACAAACAAACAGAAAACCAGGTAGGGTGGCTCTCACTTATAATCCTGCTCATTTTGGAAGGCAGAGATTGGGAAGATTAAACTTCCAGGCCTGAGCAAAACGTTTCCAAGACCCCTTCTCAATCAATAAAAGTTCAATGTAGTGGACAACCACATTTGTCATCCAGCCAAACCGGAGGTGTAAGTAGGATTGTGGGCCAGTCCAGCCTGTGCATAAACACCCTACTTGAAAAATAACAAAAGCAAAAAGGCTTGTGTGTGACCCCAGTATAGTCAAAAAAAGAAAGATAGATTGTTAGGCATGGTGGTGCATATCTGTAATCATCCGGTATTCTAGAGGAAGATCATGGTTCAAGGCCAGCCCTGACAAGAATAACTTGATAAACTATCTGAAAATTAAGCTGAAAAGCAAAAGGATTGAGAACATGATTCAGGTTGTTGAGAACTTGCCTAGCAAGCACAAGGTCCTGAGTTCAAAGGCTCAATACTGGGGAAGG